GTTCTTTGTTCGGCACTATTTAACTGACAATCTTGTTTGTTATTGCCACTATCACCATCTTAAAAAATTTTGTATTATGCATGATTCCTCACACTACCACTACAAACACCGCATTAGTGCTGACAATAAAAAAACACAACCTGAAATGTTTATTTTATGATTGTTTAGTGTTGTTCAATCAAATTAACTGATCATCTTGGCTATAAACATTCTTAAGAACATCTCATAATTTTTTGTATGATTATAGCTGTTACTGTTCACCACGCATACACATATCGTAGCTTCCACTAACCAATACTGAAATATTTTTTCATTATTTGTGTTTATCTTCCTTTCTACTTGGTATTTTTATTTGCATTTTTTCTTTTGTTTTTTTGTTATTTCTGTGTTTCTTTTTTGGTTTTTTGTTGTGTTTTTTAATATTTTATTTTTTTGTAATACTCCTTTTAAATGTACGATGAAATTAGATGCAATATTGTAGATATGTGCTGAAAATTCCACACTGTACCACAAGTACTGTTTCTGGAATAAAGCGAAATTGTTATGTTATGTTATAATAGGCAAAATTAGTCTAAAGCGACGTATGGCAGATGTAAAAGACAAAAATTACACAATCAAATGAAAGACAAAGTGAAGACATCCAGTTATCAAGGTACAGAAAGTCTAATAACTGCTTCTTTCTGAACACATCAGTCGGATTTCTGGCGTTTAATAGTAACTATTTCGCCGAAATTGAGGAGAATTGAACTTTTTCGTCTACTGATAATTTTGAAGGATTTTATGATGTCCACCTTATGACAAGATGTCTGACAATCGTTCTGTTGTGTGTTAGTTTCTTTGAGACATCGGCATTTTGGTACATGTTCAGAAAATCAGAGGTGATGTTTTGAAATATGCGTTATACAACAGTGACTTTATAGGCTCGTTTAGAGGGTTTGCTGAAATCTCTGACTTGTATAGGAGATTTCATAAGCTACAGAGTTTTGTCTATAGTGGTGTGGAACCCTTGACGCATTTGATATTACATTGAGTTGACAAAGTTTTAGATAATTTTCTAAAAAACTAAAGTCGCTGAGTAGAAACCCCTCACTTTAATGAACTTTCTCCTCAATCATTCCAGTGAGAGAGATCCTAGACATGGCAGTAAATATGGTCTGCCATGTTTAGTAGATTCGTATACATAACACTTTTTGTCGCATTCATCAGAGCCAGCATAACTGCAGTCTTGGTGAACTTTATGTCCATTCAATTATTTATCTATCGATTATGCAGAAAACGTTGAGATCAACAGATTATTAACCTTCTTCGGTTTTGCTTACTGATAGTGAAAGGCGAAGGACAAAATGAGTAAAACAACCTTGCATACGTGTGATTACTTTATTATAAGTAGTATTTTTCAAAATAAAAAAACCATATTGATTTTATCACCAGTGGATCGGAACAATAGTGGGTTAACTGAAAGCATGAAGAAAATTGTTTCTGATATATCCGCAGTCATTAAAACTATCACATGAATTTCAAGTTGTTTGACGATTTAACGACAACATCACGTGACCTAGTCTACGCCTTCTAAACAATGATTTTTATTCAGTAATCAACCAACACTTGAATACCAATAAGGTGCTCACTGGCGACTGGCCCTATTCAGGTAGGTAGTTACCTGGGTTCCAGTGGGAAGTCGTGACCAGTAGGGTGCAGCCGGTCGGGTGTGAGGACAAATACTCGCCGAAGACATTGGCTAGCGGTCGCGCTATATCGTGAATTGGCAGAAGTTAAAATTCATGGGCTGACCATTGGATCGGGTCCCAGTGGCTTAATGGTATACGAGCTCGCCTTGTAACCGGAAGGTCCTGGGTTCGAATCCCGGTGGGTGCGTACTGCTGAAGAGTCCCAAACTAGGACGAAACAGCTGTCCGGTACTCCCAGGTTTTCCAATGGTTCTCTAACCAATGTCAGCTCATGATGAAATCGTGAAATCAAAATTCAGTCTAGTATTTCGTACAAATGAGTATCATTTGAGAAGCTTTGGCGAAAACACTATTGAAGATCACTTACGCTAAAAACAAATAGGCATGTTTGCATTTGAAAGAAAAGTCAGCATGTAGAAAACGTAAACGAAACTACAGATGTTGAAAAACAACTTTATTTTTTTTAAACATACAATCCACCAACATGTAGTTTCCTATTTATTATGATTATTTTTTGATGTGTTAAAAACTTGGATCTAATATTTAATGTCGACTTATTTTTAACATATCGCACTATGGCTAAGTAAAAGTGTAGTTAAAACCCTTAACAGCTCGATATTGGACCATCTGGTGCAAACCGGCCACAAAGCCAGTGTAGAAGAATCCTTCTCTATAATATACCGGGTGCCTAATAAATTGCCAAAGTCATCGAAACACCACATGCTCCAAACAGAAGAGCTTATAGCGATTTGCCTCAAACAACCAGCGCTCTGTATTCAAAGGAAGCAAGTCCAGCCCCTACTATTGCCCTGGCCTTTAGTGGAAACTACAGACCCATGAATTTGTAATGTTATCCTTCCTAATTCTTCTGACATTCAGCTTATTTTATGTTAATGCTATTCAACTGTAATCTATCAATATTATTGATTCGATGTTATTTAAACATTAATGTTGTTCATAAGACTAATTCATTCATTCACTATAATATATATATATATATATATATATATATATATAAATATATATATATAACTGTAGAGCCTTATGATGAATTTATCGAAAAGAGTACTCTTTGTTCGGTATCCATTCTTTTCAAAAAAACATATCTCATCTTTCTGCTTCAAATAGTTAACTGCAGATCTTACATTAACATATTTTACCATGACAAAACTCTTTACCCACTTTGTGTACATAAAACCTCGGTGGACACATTTCCCATCCACTCAAACAACATATAGTTAATTTATACTTACCAAAGGAACCCAGCATAGTGTGTTCATTAATTGTATCGATATGTTGTTAAAAAATTATTTTTCTTATTTGCTAATTGTAATATGAGAAAGAGATTAAGCCTAATAGAATCATTTCCTCTTATGTTATATCAGAAATTAAATGTGATCCATTCTCTTTATTTATTTTGTAGCATAAATGTACGATTCCACTTACAGCTTTACAATGAAGTGGTGGGATGAAGTAAATTGAAAGGAAGCCTTGAACTTAAATTTCTTGATCAATAATAATCATCAGTAAGCCATGTCGTGAAACAACAAATTTTCTCTGTGTAAGTAGAACTTCTCACTAATAAAATCAACTATTTTGTCCCTAGTTTTGTCAGTTTCATTGGATGGTGACTTCACGGAACTTAAGGAGATACTTTTTTTACCACCACGTGACTAATTTGTAAAGCCTACTAATATCTAACATTGAAACAAATAGAAGAACAGTTCAGTGTATTGTAATTCAGTGTCAGTTACCCTACCGACTGCAGTGCATAATTCATACATATATATATATATTTCAGTCGTGAACGCGGAAGTACGATGTGCAGCTTTCGACTTAAGCAGAATCCAAAAAACGAAAGTATATCAAACACAAGTAATTTCATAAATGTAAGTACCTAAGGTCCGGGTACCCGGCCATGCACATGATCCAGGGTTCGATCCCCGGACGACGAACTCCTTTTCCTTGCTAAACCAGTAGTAAGGCTGGTAAAGAGGAAAGGTTAGGCATGAGGCTAGCAACCTCATCCTGTAAAAATTAACACTGCTACAGAAACTTCAAGCCTGTAGCTTGAAGCTTTATGTTCCACTGGGAACGTGAAGGAAAAAAAGTACCCAAGGTAGGTGTATCTTGCGAAATCAGCATGGATTTAAGAGAATGTATCTATAGTTATGTCAAGAAAATGCAAAGTTACTAGGTAATCAATGGACTCTTTTCTGAGTATTTAAATTATATGAAATACCTACACATCAAACATTTAGAATTTCACCATGTTAAGGATTGGTGCAGAAAATAAACACCAGCTGAAAAAATAATATTCATCCAACAACTAGAGTCAGTTTGGTTTTATATGAGGATTACTTTATTCGAAATGCAGGAGATTTCAGGTACTCACTACTGAAATGTGAATAGAACTCTTTATGAAACTAACTGCCTTGGCTTTTATGAAGTATTCTTTGTAAAATGAGGGCACAAACATTTCGAAAAGATCTTGTTGTTGATATGTGATGGAGATATCAACTCTGAACGGGTTCTCCTAATAGAGAAGTCAGATACTTCTGTGTGGTTCAGAAACCTGACGCGTCACCAGACTCATGTTCAAGAGGTTTCAGACTTTTTGCCCAGTAGCTAAGATCATACTACTGAGCAGAGTAACAACGAACTCTGGCAACAAACTAACCAATAAACTATTGTCCAATAAATGTACAAGAGGAAATGGAGATGGATTGGACACGCAATAAGGAGAACATAGAGCGAAACAATTCACTATACCGTTGAACAGAACAATAAGCTGGGCATCTGAGGCTGACATAGAGGAGGTCGTGTTAGGAGAAGGTAAAAGTTAATGGGCAATCATGGAGCAGGCTTAAAAGGACTACAAAGAACAGAGGGGAATGGAAATGTTCTACTGAAGCTCTTGAGACCCAAGGGAATAATAATAAAAGCAATTTTCAGAAAAACACCAACTACTGGTGAGACCGTAGAGGCAAGTAAGTATGCTCATTAATATTCTGAGTAGGTATTCGTAAGAATGAAACACAGAAAGTAAATCATAGACTATAGATAAAAATATGTTCCAGTTCAAATTATATAATGTTATTTATTATTTAATGAGAAGTTTACTAATAAGTGTTTTCGTGCATTCATTCAATAAATATTTTGAATTTTCCCAACGATTAAAGATTAATTGTCACATTAGAAACATATCAATGTGTCACAAATTTAACTTTAGTTTCAATATACTATTCAAACTGAACAGTTTTTACCAACTTTATTGTTAATCTAGTGGTCAAGAAGGCCAATGAACTTAGTAAAACATTGAGTAAACTGTTTGTATGAAAAAGCAACACATTAAACCAATCATGTTCCACAGTTTAATTTTATATTTCGAATATATAACAAACTGAATCTAATGCGAATAAATCAGATGGAATTAAACTTAGACACCTGTATGAGATATCATCAAGTTTATTTTCTAAAAATGTTGCCCACGTCCATTGAAATCTGACAAGTTTTTACCTACCGAAGTAGAAGAATCGTGTACACATCGATAAACTGATAAATTTGCAACGTTCCTTCAGTTTTATGACATATGTCATTTAAGTCAGTAGTTCGAATCATGCATTGTTTTAACTGCCTTTGAAATTATTCATCGAAACAACATACACAGTAATCTTCATCAGAAATGCCTTCAAAAAGAAAAATAGATCTTATGATATACAAATTAGATGCTGACTAGTAAATTTATCAGATCCCGTGTAAAATGAATACCACCATGTACCTGAAATATGTTATGAATACTGTTAGCATCAGTATATGCATTTATAATGAAAGCTTTCAAGGACTAGCTTAATTTTAGAAAAATATGCATGGGCATAACAACTTTGAAAATGATAAGAAACTTGCAATGACTATTGAACTAAATGTATATATTTTTATAAAATTATTTTTAGGTACTTTAGGCATATCAGCTATTCTTTTCAACATATGCGTCTCATTATTGTGGATATTCTATATCTTCGGATGTAAATCTTTAAAGTGTTCATTAAATCGCAGTAATCAAAACAACGATTCTACCAGTCCCTCAACACGGATATCGACGGGAAACAGTACAGTGGAAAGTGTTGTTAATGATGTTAATTACAATTCATTATATGAATGGCCAAAGTGTTCTCTGCGTACATCTACAAAAATATTTATTTTTTCTATCGTTATAAGTGATTTAGTTGGACATATGACCTCTGGTGTACGATTTACTATTTTGTCTACGATAGGAAAGGATATACGACTATGTTTCAGTGATTTGTTGTGCAGGGCTCAAATATACTTAGCCTTCACAGTGGCTAATATTTCCGGGTGGCAGTTCTCTTTTTTATGCTTTGAACGCTGTTACATTCTCATTAAATCCAATTCCAACTATACACGTACACCTCAAACGTACTGGCTAGCTATTACACTAACCTGTTTTACACTAATTACAGCATTACTCGCGGAGATATATGCATTATTACCAGACGAAAAGGTGTGCAGTCCATTTTATACAAACCGTATTGTAAATGCTTATAAAAGTATACATACTGCAATGCTTCCAGCCTTATTAACTATGATTTCATCAATAATGTTGTTAACCTTTCTTGTTAAAATGAGGATTAGTTTCAGAAACAGGAGTTCGTTTGATAACCGTTTTTGCAATCAAAGAAGATCAGGTATTTCAGGACGGATAACAATGGCTAAAAGGATGTTCTTCGTTTCTGTTTGCCATCTATTAATTCAATCCATCGTAATTATTTTTGCAAACAGTGCTGGACATTATTGTTGTTATTACACATCAAAAAGTGTTTTACACCTAAAAGACTATTTTTACATTATGTTAATTATGCTACGGTTAATCATTCATTCATTAAGAACATTCTTACTAATTTCCGGTTCATCGGTTATATGTCGGGATATTAAAATCATCTTAAGGATAATTAAAACAAATGTAAAAGATGTTCTAAATATATGAAGGCTAAACTTTCTTCATTCTTTCTCTTATTTATCGAAACATTTCAACATTTTATGCAGAATATTCATATATTTCAACGTTTGATCATTATAATTTAGTTGAATGATTGTAGGACTATTAAATATTTATGAGTAGAAATGCTGAACTTTAAAAATAAAAAGATAATTTGCATCGTTTGAATACAGTTTTAATCTCATGGATACTGCTGAAAAGTCAATTTTTACTCCTCTTTTGATATCACAATGTACATTAAAATGCCTCTGTAATAAAACCTGCCTTCTGTTCCAGGATAAATCCAGTTCAGCTATTATTTGCAAGTGAGCTAGTGTTTTCCTTCCTTTCTAAATTTACATCCTTCTTTTAATCCTTTACTCCACAAATGAAATACAGAGTTTAAAGCTTAATTTTCGAGGGTTGATTTGTAATGAATTGGTTTTTTTGTCGAGTTTGACCATGGACTGATATCAGTTGGAGAGCCATTAAAAACCAGGGAGTACTGGACTGTTGCTGTTTCATCCTAGTTTGGGAATCATCGGGGGTTTGAGCCCAGGAACTTCCGGTTACAAGGCGAGCCCATATATTATTCAGCTACTGGGACCCGATTCAGTGGGCATCCCATGAATTCTAACTTCCACCAATTAGTGGTTTAGCACGACCATCAACCAATGTCATCCGTGGGAAATCCTTCTTCACTCTTGACTGGATGGACCTCCCTGGTCACGACTTCTCACTAGAACTCCAGGAAACTGAGTCCAGTAGCAAGTCATTGGCGAGCATCAGATTAATTTTCAAGGGTTGATTTGTAAGGATTAGATTTGTTTTTCCAGTTTGACCTATAAGTCCCACACTAGGATAAAACGGCTGTCCAGTACTCCCTGATTTTTTATGGTTCTCTAACTGATATCAATCTGTGATCAAACTCGATAAACACATCAAAACCTTATAAATGAACTCTTGAAAATGTAAAGCTTAAGCTTTGAAATTTCATTAGCATTCATATTTTTTACGGCATGGAGTTGTTATCTTCACGCCTGACATTTCCACTTTTTTGGGCTTACTATTGACTAGTAAGCTAGAGGAGGTTAAAGGGTGCGTCGGCTGGGAGTCACACTAGTATATTCCCCTTTAATAAATAGCTTTACGAAGTACTAGTCTTCCTCAACACATAGTTCGTCTAAACACTTCAGATAAATTCCGTAGCATCTAAAAATAGTTTGGGAAATCTTTGTCTAAACCATTCAGCAAAATGTGATTCTTTAAATAATTTTATCATTGAATAGTAAGGTTATTAAGCAGTCATACAAATACCTCAGTAAAAATGAACTATTATAATTAAAAAACGTATATTCCACACTAAATTTATCCATTCTTTTCAGTAAATTCCGTCTGGGTCCATGCAATTAAATAATAAGATATTTGTTATGATTACAATAATAGCCAGCTGTACAGTGGATACATCTTCTGAGTAGAATAGCAGATTGGTTTTAGTGTAACAAGTAATTATGTTACACAAGTGCTGGGCTAAACGTGAGACGATCGCGGTGATTAGTGATAATAGATTCATCAGATCTGATGAAGGAAAATTGAGAAGTTAGGTGAAGGTTGTTTAAAGTGTTTGGTGAATGACTAGTATAAAGACAGTTCAGCATATTGTGTGAAATGAATGAGATGGAGCCGTTAATCTACAAAACAAATAATATCACAAGTAATAAATCGAAATGCTGTGTTAGTATGTACGCAAATGGAGAATTTTGTAGTTTTCAAGAGTTTTTTTGTAGGGATTCAATCTTTTTCAAGTTTGATCACAGGCTGAAATTAGTTAGGGAGTACTGGACAGCTGTTTCCTCCTAGTTTTCAACTCTTCACTGGTACACATCGACAATCCCATTAAGAACCGTACCTGGGACGTGCAAGTGTGTTTGAAGCATGTCCCAATACCACTAATGTTATCCGAAGTAAAAGCGGTCACTCTGCACAGCTGGCCATTACAGATATTTCCTTATAGCTGCGATAAACCATAGAAAATTTATTTTAAAAAGTTTTCTTCGTTCAAGTGGATTTCTAATTCATAATGTAGGAATATTTCATACTCCTAAATTAATATACCTTCAGGACATACATATATAATTAATGCTATTTGGTTCAAAACCACCTTCAGAAAGCACACAACTGACGCTTGATTCTTACCGGCATTCATCAGGATGGTGCTATCCAAGCTCATAGTTGACTTCCTGTAAGACCTAATGGATGCAAAGACCTCTGACTAAATAGTAACTAGTATCATATGTGAAGTCCTAAGTATTTGGGATAACTAAAATCTAACAGTTAAGTTTTCAAAATGGTCATTATGTTAAATGACATGAGATAGCAGCGCACTTTAATACGAAGTAACGTATAGTATTGAGTCAATCATAATACTAAGGGCCTGAAATATAACACCATTTACCTTCTGGCGAACATTCAGTCCACATATATATGTGTCAATCAATAGTGCTCAAATAACAAGGAATTTATTACTCTTGCACAACATTACTCTTGGAGTTTTACGCATTTGATAAAAATAAAACCTGATTACACGGCCAAGACTAAACTCCTCATTTTGATAGTAATTAGCAAAAAAACATTACTATAAAAGCATAGCACTAAATTTTGTCTAAAGCATGTTTAACAAAGTAATCCCCAGGGCTTTATCACCAAACATGATGCTCTTAGTGCATATTAAGAAATTTCTTAGATTATATCCTTTCAGTCAACTAGCTAAAATTAGCAGTTGGCTGGTACATACACTTCATCAACTATGTCAGCACATTTGCTTCTTCTGTTGAAAAATTCCACACTGCAGCAAAAACTGTGTGAAATAAAGTCATTATTATTATCAAATTTTCTCAGACCAAAATAAAACAATGTTTCAATTGATAACCCATCTGTTAAAACTTAAAATGACCTGGGCCATTGGGTTACCATATGTTTAAATTTATATTTGTATTTTTTCACAGTAAACTGGTAGTTATTAAAAGTCAAGCAAATAAAAGAAGATAAAGTTTGTTAGACGAAAATATTTGACATTTATGTAACCTCAATTTCCATATGAATTGATTTTCAAGTGTATTTATCTACGAAAGAGTCAACTGATAGTAATTTATACAAATTCTGCATAATACATTAACTATAAACAGAAGCCTTCGATCGAAGTATCTGCAATCGCAAGAAGAAACGTCTCAATTAACATTACATGCTTGAAACAGAAGTAGTCTGATTGAAATCAATAAGGTCGAAAGAGTAGTTAAATAAATTTTTCTGTATGTACAACTCTGGCTTTCCACACTGAGTGGCTAAAGCCCATGCAATGCAAAACATACGAAAGCTTTTTGCCTTTGGTAGGTTGCTCTTTACTTTGTACATTAATTTGAAGCACTCGTTTGTTGAGATAGAATGATTCGTGATGACAAGGTGTTAGATTAGTATAAGGACTTAAAAAGCGGTATATTCTACTGATTTATACGATTAGTCAAAAAGCACTCATTTTAACCAGCAGTGTTTACATTTTGAAGTTATGTCATTGGCAAAACTATGCTAAAGAGTTTGTGAAATATTACCAGTTGCCACTGATTTACGATGACCTGGATAGACTGTGTTAATATAACTGAGTAACAGAAAGTTTTTAAATACTAAAGCGACGCAAGAATAACAATTCATCAAGGGATATTTAAAACTAGAGTGTTACTCAGATACCCTTAAGATTTTGCAGTGTTAACATCATGAAGTTTTCGTAAAAATTAGAATTCTTTATTACTAAGGCCTCCATAACCTTCAAATCCACCTTAGCCACAACCCACTGGACCACAGCAACCTCTACATTGTTATTTTTGTCACTCCTTAAATCCGACATCTTTTCATCTTATTTATTCTCTATTTACTGACGTCTTTCTTGACATCAACCGTGCTAAAGCCCATGTCATGGGGCTTGTGCAAGTTATCCTTATAAACAGGGTTGTAGTAGTCGAACGTGGAGATGCTGAAATAATGTGACTCGTCTGTTTTTTTCCAGGAAACTATTTCACACATGGTGACATTGCCTTACTTGTTGAAATATTCAAACAGTTTCTCCTATGTCAAATCCTTCTTCAAAACACCAACAAAGAGTTTATTCACCGTGATGTGACACTTGAAGCTATTGGAATCCTCATGTAGCTCTGCTTATTAAACCTTGTAAGATCTGTTAGCTTCGCCAGCACCCACCATCTCTGTTTCGTATTTTTTGTGCGTTATAAATCCGAAATTTCTGGAATGATTGGTAAGGTCATTCTTCATCACCACAACATTCATAATATCTCCCTATTTTGAGTAGAATACCTTTAACTTGGCGTCTGAGGTGAGAAGAGGCAGACCTCTCATAAAAAGTTTGCGAAATAGTTCAATTTGGCAGTCATTATTCTTAAAGTTGTGCATTCTCACCTTCGCGTTAATCATGGAAACGAAAAGAGTGATACATTGGGATACAAAAGTCGTTACTAAAACGCGACAACAGTGGGTAGCAACGAGAATGCAGGAATGGATCTGCTCGATTTCTTTTCTGCCTGAACAACGAGTATGGCTTATGCTACTGACAAAGTTTTGTAAGTAGTATACTGTATCTGATGTCTTTTTCAAGAATCCTGAATAATGAGCAGACTGATTAAGTTGCAAAGAGGGAAAATTGGAGATCCCAGTGAAACAATACAGAAAGCATAAAAGGGAGACAAAAGAAGCACAAGACAACGAATACATGCAAATACAGATTTCATTGTTAGGTCCATGGATTTTGCTATAATTGCATCTCATAACAATTTACTAAAAATTACCGTGTTTGGCATTTTCAGAAATATGTTACTATTCGAAAATGTAACTGTTGGCAACATTCCTGGCAATTTTCTTCAGAGCTGCAGCTAAACTTTACTATGACTGACGATATGAGAAGAATGTGGATGAAGCACAGCTTCCATCTGCTAACTATTTTTGGGTTTGGCTTCGTGTCATTATTTCGTTTCGATGTTCAAATGCATTTATACATTAAAGGAATCTCAGTGGGATAACTAATTTTAACATCAACAGATGAGGACTGAGAATTGATGAAAAGACTAGAAATCATACTTCTACCGATAACCAGACGTAAAATCAGGAAAGGTTTTCTGGAAATAACATTTATCATCGAAGAAATGATCTGCAGAACACCCACAATTTAATCAACCATATTTCCAGCGGCAGAAAGCTTACAAGTGAAGAGGACTGAGAGAGAGCAATTCTACCTTTGCGTGTTTTAATCAGGCTAACAAGCAGGAAAAAAATGAAAAACCTAATCATAAAGACAGTCAATTCATAGAGATTAAA